CCGAACGGCCGGACGCCTTCCGAAGGGGTCCCGTACGTTCGGGCGTTCGGCCCGTCCCAAACGCCGGCAACCCTGATGCAGAGAATATGAAAGCAGGTCCCACCAAAAAAAAAAAAAAAATGAAAAGTTGAAAACAAAAATGTTATGCAGAGAATATGAACTAAACAACTTCTGCCTCAGGGTCACATCGAAATTCTTTACCAAATTTGGAATAAAAATAAAATAAAAAAATACATATTATATAATAAAATATCGTTAAACAGTTACATATTATATTTCTGGGCCCGGCCGGGCGAGTGGTCCCGGAGCACTCTGGAAGCCTAGCTCGTACAGCCATACGTCCTCACATTTGTTTTCGCAGGAATTTCTTCCGTTGCTCATCCACCGCAGAGTTCATCTTCCTCAGCACCCCGGAATTTCTTCTGCCTCATCCACCGCAGAGTTCATCTTCCTCATCACCACCTTTCTTTTTTTTCGTTCTTCTTGCTTGTCAGCTGTCAGGATGAAGACAGAAACTTGTACTGCCTCTATCCGTACCAAGCTAGTTTTTTCGCAAAAACATTATAGCTGTATTTGGAGTATCTTTCAGTCTTAAATACAGCTATATAATGCCCGTACGTTGTATTGAGGGAAGAAGATAGTCATTATTCAGTACACCTCTTTGCTCACCAATGACTCAGCAATGCGAAAATTGATTGCATACAAGGAACTGAAATGGGTTATCCAGAAGGGGGCCAGGAATACGAGAAATATATACCCAAAACCACGTGGAAAGAAAGAAATGTGTACCAAGTACTACCAAGAATACAAATCAAGTATCGATTTCTGTGTACTCGGAAGAAGGCCATGATTCAGTACACCTCTTTGCTCATCAATGACTCAGCAATGCGAAAATCGATTGCATACAAGGAACTGAAATGGGTTATCCAGAAGGGGCCAGGAACACGAGAAATATACCAAAAACCACGAGGAAAGAACGAAATGTGTACCAGGTACTACCAAGAATACAAATCAAGTAGCGATTTCTGTGTACTCTAACGTCATCCATTGCTCTCACCAGAGGCAGAAGTAAATGGTCGTGACAACGCTTATCGTACCAAAACAGGAAAACATATTCCTCAAACAAGTAAGACATGTTGACGTAAAGACATGTTACATCATATAACAAATAACAACAACAACAACAACTTGAACTAATCTTCAACAACAAACCGATCGTTCCGCTTCGGAATCTCCAGTTCTTCCGTTCGCACCACTTTCCTTCCGACAATTGATAGCAGCAGATGAACACATTTGGTACCGCAACCAGAAATCCACGTCCAAAGAGGGATCTTCTGCTGCGGTACATCCGATTTATAGCCGTACCGTATGTCACACCTTGCAAAAAAAACACGAAACAAAATACGTCGGATACCAGATAAGACCTTAACCCCACCCCCCAAGTAAAAAAAAAAAGACAATCCCCCCAAAAAGATCCTGGACTATACTCATAACCCCAGTATTCTCTCAGTAGGCTGTCAAATCCGACTCCGAAAATTCCAAAATCGGGAGAAGTTAAAATTTAAAAATGTTTTTTTTAAAAGTTGTCTCGGAAGCTTTGGCTCTGGACCCTTTCCGAAAAAGGAGAGACCGAACTTCTCGGCAGATCCTCCTCGTCGATTTAATAGTATTCTTATCGATCCGGTGCAGCCAGCCTGCAATGAAAAAAAACACAAGTATTCTTATCGATCCGATGCAGCCTGCAGCCACCGTGGCCCTACCAAGTGTTTTGGGTCGTACACCGCACGGATGCCCTGCATCCATTCAGCAGTTACTTCGCGTTGTTCTTTACTCCTTGAGAAGTCGCGTTCCAAATTTTTCATCTCCCTCTTCTCCTGCCCTCTTCTCCTTCTCCTTCCGTCTTCTTCGTCTTCTTCTTCCTCTCCTTCCGACTTCGGATTCTGCGAGGCTTTGAATGCCGGTCTTGCTGAATGCCATTGACGTCAAGTATTTCAACCTACCAAGGACCGAAGATCTTGGCCTCTTCGGATACCCACCTTACCCGGCCATCTACCAACTGGCATTCCATGCATGCAAATGCTGCCACCGTGGCCCTACCAAGGACCAAACTCTTGGCTGCTCGGATAACCACGTTACCCGGCCGTCTCCCAACTCACATGCAATGCAATCTATACTGGCGACGCCGAAGCTGCTGCTTTTGCAGCCCCACTTGACGAGGAAAGGCTCAGCATGGCACGGATATCGTCTTCGACAAACTCTGGTCCGGAAATCGGAGTCAGCTTGTATTTTTCAACGATGATGTTCAGAATGTTCGGAGAAACAAACGCCGGGAGTTTCGGCCCAATCCGAATGTTCTGTACCCCCAAATGAAGCAGCGTCAACAACACCTGTGTATCATAGAAGGCAACCACCGCACAACAACAACATCAGACCCACAGAGAAAATTAGCATATACCCACGAAACACAGATGCAGTCAGATTAAAAAACGTTTTTAAGGTTATAGATCAAATGAAAAAAAAAAAAAAAAATCAAATGAGAGGGAAAGCAGCCACTGGCAAGACCAACGGGCCTGTAGCTCAGTTGGTACACCCATGAACTGTTGAAATACAGACCCGAGTTCCTCCTGGGGCGTGGTCCCACTAGCAAAGAGTCTCGGATAGAATGCCTGAATCTGGACGAGTTTATGGAGATGTGCAGGAAATCGAGAATGAACTGCTTTTCCGCATCTGTGCTTAGAACACATCCAGATTCAGGAGCTCGATCCTATCCTTTTTGCTAGTGGGACCTCGGCCCTGGGGCTCGTCAGTCCAACAAGCGACATCTGGAAGGCCACCGCCCTTTTTTTAATAAAAAAAAAAAGGAACGAAAAAAGAGCTGACGACGTCCGCCTGATGATGTCCGCCTACGAGGGCCTACTCACACTAGCGGTATCTCAAATGTATCTGACCACATTCATGCCATACCTGGATGTATCGGGCCTTCTAACATCCGAGTGTGAGTACGCCCTGTGACTCTATCCTTCTTTTTCCATCCCCCTCTTGCTTCCCTCCTCCATCGGCGCTGCTTTTCGTTCCCCCCCTTTCTTCACTACTTTTCGTCTCCCCCTTCTTTCTTTCTCCTTTCCCCCCTCTTTTTCCCCCTCCGTCCTTTTTTTCTTTTTCCTCCTCCCTTCCTCCTTCCTCAGTCCCTCCTCTTTTGTTTCCCCGGTAAAAGGAAAATTAGTAAAAAGTACGAATGACTAATTAGTAAATTACTCCAATTTAAAAAAAGTCCTTCCAGTTGAAAAGGAAACATTTTCATTTTTAACATAGAAAAGCAAAAAGACCCACCGTAGGGACTGTCCGAGCGGGGGATCTTCCAAGATAGGATGGTCTGCGTCCCATAAATCAGTTGTGCTGGTTGTAGATAGGTACCTGTCGTGGGGCCAGAAACCGACCTCTATAACACCCTAGACTTTTATAACTAGAACAAAACAACACTAGAACAAAACAAAACTAGAACAAAACAAAACACAAAAAAAACAATCTTTCTGGAAATTTGCAGCCATCAATGCGCTGAATTTCATGGAAACAGACACCTGGGGCGAGGCCCCACTAGCAGCGTAGAGTTTCCTCAACGCCTTAATCTGGACGTGTTCCTGGACATGTGCAAAGCGATTTCTACACATATCCACAAACACGTCCAGATTCAGGGGTTGAGGAAACTCAACGCGGCTTGTGGGACTTGGCCCCTGGGGCGAGGTCCCACTAGCAACGGGATATAACCCAAAAAAGTTAAGGAGAGGAGATCTTGTCAATCGGTTGGGGGTGTGGCCAACCCCAAACGAGGTTGGGGTCGGCCTTAGCCCACTGGATAGAATATTTTCAGCATTTTACTTGCTGTCGTGCAGTTATCTCGTATTGGGTGGAGCCCTCCTTCAATCACGCGTATATATATGGAGGGTGTCACGATCACTGCGGACAGAAGTCGAGTTTATTCCACAAAAAAAAATGGCAGTTACTTTGTTCACTGTTGTTGGGACCACCACCATCAGATCATTTGTGATCTGATGCCTGGGAAGCATTCTGTTTTGTTTTTTTTTGTTTTTTTGCCTTTCTCCTGTTTTTTCTGCCCAGAAATTCATTTCGTAATGAACCTGTCACCCCGCTGCCTCTCAGTGTCACACTGGATCGGTCACACTCCTATCCGACTGCTAATATGGGACCTCGCCCCTGTAATTTGCAAATTAATACGAATATAATGTACCGAGTTAACAGGTCTCCGTTTCCGTGCACAGGTTCTATGAAGTTCTATCTTCGAGGATATTTTACTTTTTTTTTTTTTTTTTTTTTTTTAACTGATCTCTGGACGTAGTAGCGGTCATATGCATCCATGCATCTGCCCATAAAAGCTGGCAGATACATCCCAGGAAGTCCCAGCTCTGAGCTCCTTATCGCAGTGTCCTCCAGTGTAAGGCAACGAATTGACTGTGCATTTTGCAATCCACATTCTGCAGGTGAAAATTATTCTTTATGGCAAAAAAAAAAAAACAAAAAAAAAAACAGGACACTGTTGTTCGTGGGATGCCAAGCTGATCTTATCACCTCCCTAAGTGGTATCCACGACTCGGGAAAAAAAAAAAAAAAAAAAAAAAAAAAAAAAAAGAACACTGCTTGGTTGTAATCAAGCACTAAAGGATGGGTAGGTCCCCACACTTTCCTTGTCAAGGCTGCGAGATTTTTTGTTTGCAATAACGCCACTAACTTACCGCCACAGCTTTTTGCTCAAACCACGACAACACCATGGACAGCGGCAGCGAGTTTATATCTGTGTTCATCGCTTGTGCAAGCGCAGCCGCAATACGAATAGCAGAGTAGGCATCATTACACTGCCCAATGTCCATCAAGCGCGGAAGATCTGAGCCTTCCAGGGTACCGAAAGAGTCGAACTGCTTGTTAAATCGATACTTTCCGCATGCCAGAGTCATTACGAGCGTGTCCTGCTCAAGGTAAAAAAAAATAAGCCACAAAGAAAAGATAGTACATGAAGTTATGAACTGAATCCGACACAATCAGACAAAGAGAGAAAGGATCACCCCAAAGAGAGGAACCGCACCAGAAACAGACCAAACCCAGAAAACAAAACAAAAAAGGAAGGAAAGGAGGAGAGAAGGAAAGAAGGAAAGAAGCCACCAGGCTAATAAACAATGGAGACGCCCAAAAAGAAAAAAGAAAAAAGACAAGGACTCGAAGCCCAGCTGGTGCAGCTCCCCGCCGATAGACTGGAGCAGCCACGGAGGCCTGCTAGACGGGTCTGCTCGCACCACCCCCTCTAGCAGAGGGGAAGAAAAAAGGAAGACACTGCAAAAAAGGGGAGAAGCGTAGAGTGTGTTGTAAGCTATGTTCTGCCTTGCCGCCAGTGGAATAGAAACCGGACTATCGCGGAGCGGGAGCCATAAAGCACTGTTTTCTTCAAAAGGAAAAAACTTCAAAAAACAGACAGCACCAGACTGAGCAATCCTTGCTTTACTGACAGCCGGGAGAAAGGGATCGGGATCAGGGGGGGAAGGGGGGAGAGAGAGAGAGAGAGAGAGAGAGAGAGAGAGAGAGAGAGAGAGAGAGAGAGAGAGA